TGTACTGAACACATCCTCTTCACTATGCGCTAACATAAGCACTGAAAAATGGAAAATAAATAGGAGAGGTAGTAGAGAGTGCCCTCAAAGAGCTGAAGAAGGGTCAATGAGCCACTCGGCCTGTTATGGAAAAACAGGAGTGCTTGAATCAAGTCTTTGAAGGGTAAGTAACGGTTCATCCTGAGATAGAGGGGAGAAGAGGTATAGGCTTCCTTCAGATCAACTTTTACCCAGAATACACGAAAACAGAGCATATAAAAGGCATAGCCTGCTGATCTGATTAAATGCAGGTTACAATTATAACTGTCTTGTAATTATTCTTGACTCTTGGAGGATTCAATAACAATATGCCTTTACACTACCCACGCTCCTCCTTGCCTTTCCAGTAGTCATGTACTCTGGTATCCTCCTACACCTAAAAATGTTCCCATATGCCTCAAAAAGATAGCATTCATTAAAAGAAAGGCACTTTTTGCACAAATTGACTTATTAAAATTGTGGTTTAGAGCAATGCTGTTTTTGAAAAATTAGAAGGCTTCTGCATGTCAAAGCCTTGACTGACTACATATTCAGGCAACACAGCTATACACTCCTTTGTGCACTTGACATTATTAAATGTCTAGTAGTTTACATTTTTACTCTTTTTCTTGAACTTAAAATAACTGACACTGGTAAAATGCTACTATGATTTTGAAATTATTAGTTCCTTTCCTATTTTAAATGTTTTCTTGGACTTGACTATAGCTTTCAGAAAACACTGTGTTCAATCAGAGATTCAAGGAGGAATATTCAGGTTCTTTGGAAAATATTGTAATCATTTCTGATTAAATGCATAATTTGTCAGTAGTAGTATATAAAATATGTTAACTTTCAACCCAGTTGATTATTCTAGCCAAAAATTTTTGATATAATTCCTAAAAGTACATAGTATAATTTGAGCACACACAATATGTAATAAACTACTTATTCTTTTGGGAATGATAATTCAACTGCATAACAAAGTCTCTTTCCATAAAAAACTAAAAACATTAAGCTAGCTGGAGACTCTACCACCCACCTCCATTGTTAAAATTTCCTCATAAAATTGCAGTGACTATAATTTTTAATTGCAAGTTTTTAGATTAGAATCATACAGTTGATGATGAACCGTAAATCTTCACAGAAAATGCCAGTTTCTGATTGATTGTGTTTACTGATTTTCCTATCTGATTAGGACTTGGTATGTCTTGCTCCAATGGAAAATGGCTAGAAATGTTGACAGGAGGGCAAACCATAGAAGCATGAGTTGATAGGGGCAAAATTAGACGCTTCAATAGCCAGAAGCCACCTCCTAAACATCTACCAAGGGAAATAGGTCTAGATGAGGTGAAAAAGGTTCTCTCACTAAAGGAATTGCCTAGCTAGTAGGCTGGTTTAAAAGGAGATAAATGGTCAAACAATAGGGAGTGTGTGGTAGGAGGTATCAGATCATGATACTCCATGGAAGGAAAAGATGGCATTCAGGTGTGGGACCAAAGGCACTGGTTCTTGAAGAAGACATGGAAGTTTTATAAGCAGGGACTCTGTCATGTCCACACACAGAGGTACCAGGAAAACATTCCATCAGGGCCCACATCAGGGGATGAAGGTAGGAGCAAGGACACTGGCTAGGAGGCTCTTTTCAGGCAAAACCTGATGGTGGTCTGGACCCTAGTTGTAGCTAGGCAGATGCAAAGAGAAGGGATTTAATTCCATACACATCCAGAAGGTAAGGAGAGCTGGAGGTCTTGTTGATGGTTTAGAAGTAAATGTCAGAGAAAGGGAAGGGTTAAGATTGGAGTCCAACCAACTGGAAGAGCAAACGCCATGACAGATGAGGAAGACATGAGGTTGGTGTTGGCAGTGTCAAATGCAATATGACTGTAAGACACTGGAGTGGACAGGTGGAGTGGACTCCACCCAAGTCTTGAACCCAAGAAAGGTCCCAACTGGAGACTCAAAGTGTGGAGTCACCTGGATACAAAAGGAATACAACAAGATCACCCACAGTGAATCCAAACAGGTGGCCTTGGGTCGTTCCTCTATTACTTAGAGGCAAGGTGAGATTGAGAAAGCAAAGAGACTTAGAAGCACTCAGCAAGGTGCTGAGGAGAGAAACAGCAGAGTAGGGGTCTGGAAGCCACGCTGAGGAAGTGCATCAACAAAGAGGCAGTGGTGGCTAAGACCAACGCCACACAGAAATCAGCTGAGCGTAAACCCAATGCCAGCACCCAACACCAGTCACGTTCCCACCACACACCAATGCTCACATTAACCTCTCCTAGCCTGCCTTTCTTAGAAGTTGTCTTTTCCACTGGGCCTCTGTACAACTATTTGCAAGAACCTCCCAGGGGTGTGGGTGGGAGTCAGGGAGACTTGAATATCCCTCAACTTGCTCTTGGTACTCTCAGAATCCCGCAGGCAGAACTACATCTCAGAAGCACCTCTGGGGTCAGACTCACCAACTCCAGGTCTTAATGCTAGTTCATTATGGACCTCAAGAGCATTCTTTCAAGAGCTGAGCAGACTGTCCTCAAGCCAGAGGGAGAAGGTGTGTCCTCCTTCTGGGTGATAATCAGAAACCCAGGCTCTGAGCTCTGCAGGGAACTCCTTCCTCAGTTTCTCTCTCTCTTGCACACACACACACACACATGCACACACACTCCCAAACACACTGCTTCAGTCAGGGTTCACACAGGGACCAAGAACCCCAAAACAATCACTAAGGCCTCCATTCTAAGCATCCCCATGGCCTGCAGCCCATGTGGCCTCCCGCTCTCCAGGCCATCAGACCATAATTCTGGAGTCTCTGAGAAGTTCCAATTCCCACCGCCCCCAGGGAAGTCCCTTAGCCCACTTGTAACTGATGGAGGCACACAGAGGGGTGGAAGGTAAGCTGGCTTCTCTCTGCTTCACCAGCATTAAATCCCCAGACACAAATAAATACTCTAGGGGCTCAGTGGCTCCTAACTGTGCAACAACAACATTCAATCCCCAACTGAAGTGCCCTAGTACCAACATCTGCTGTATGTGGCTTGCTTTTTAGATAAGGGACAATTTCCCTACGCCCACTTCCTCCTTACGCACACCAAGAAAGAACACTGAAAACAGACTGAAAAGATCTCCTAGGATTAAATTAACTTATCTCTTTTGGTGAAAGACAGCTTACTTCTAAATAAAAACACAAGGATGACTAAGTTCCAAACCCAAACACATTTAAAAGCAAAATTAATATTTTACAGCAACTAACAGTGCTTGCAGCATCAGCCAAACCAAGTCAAGCGTCCACCAGTTCCTAATTTCTTATTAATACAAAGTCCACTGCATTTCTGGAAAGGATGGTTAGTGTTTGGCACAATTTTTGCTTCATTCCTCATAAAGGTAACTAGAAAGTTAATCATAGAGCTAAAAGCAGGCACAAGAATCTAAAATCTGTTGATTACTTTTTAAAATACCAAAGTATGAGAGTCATGCCATTTCTTATCTCTAAATGAAATGATCATAAGTCACTATAATAACAAATGACAACTTTTGTACAAATACAGAGTCTATTTGTACTCTTAAAAATAGGACTGTATGATTTAAATCTTAAGTCGTGATTTTATAGGGATGGTCTCTTAGAGCCCCTAGCAGTGCTACTAATCACTTGTTTCTGGTACGAATTTATGATCTGCTTGTTCTTCAACAGGCAAAGCAATTCTCTCCATATTTTTTATAACACCAACCATAAACTGGTGGTGTTTAGGGTTTTTTGGTTTCAGAAAAGGGTTGACAGGCTGAAAAGTTTAAGAATCACTGCTCAAAAATACCCTTATGAAAAGATGCACAAGAAATCACCAAAATCACAATTTGTCTGTCAAGTAAACCCAACATCCTTTTATGTTGAGTGGTAGCAAACAGGTTTTATGGAACTGACATACAATCTAATTTAGATATTATTACATTACCAGCAGCTCAAAGCCCTACGTCAACTTAATAACCCAGTACTGTTCGGCCTCAATTATCTATGGGTTTAATTAAAGTTGTTTAAAAATAGCCTTCCTGTTGAACTTGTTCAGAATACAGGGCTTAATTCTAAACTCAAAAATTGTTCTCACAGTGGCTCCACAAGCCACCAGAACAGTGTACCAAAACTTGCACATTTAAACATTTGACAAACCCCCCTGCAAAGTATGCCAACTGACATAACACTCAGGATAGCAGACAAAGAGGAAAAGATAACAGAGACAATTTTATCATGGCAAATCAGTATTTCCTGTTGCCCAAATGAGTGAAGCCTTTTGCTCAGGGTGTTAGAATTCCTCGCATTGGGATGCTCATCTGATTGACGAACCCTTTCAACTGGACAGGACACAATGCAAACACAGGTGTTGTGTTGCTGAGCCACAGTCCTTTTGTATTTTTGTGTCTGGCATTCGGATTGTATAGAGTGGTCTACAGACCCCTGGTCATCCAGCAAGCTTCACCTGTGCAGTTCCCCACCTGTGGCAGAAGGGACCTCCAAGCCCAGCTTAAACCCAACTCTCCAAGATGTGGTCTTGACACTTTCACAATCAGTGCAAGTCAAATCTTCCTGAACTGATGACAACTCAACGTGGCATCACTGGGGCGCCCAATGCACTTTCTTTCACCCACTCATCTCTCTGCAGCTACCACCATCACTTTCCCCGTGCTTACCTGGGAACTCCTCAACACCCAGAGAAACCAATTCCCTTTCCTTATGGAAAAAACGGATTCCTATTTGATGATGAATAAGCTTCAAGGGCCACTCACTGGGCACGCTCACTGCGGGGTCCCCCACGCATCCAGAATTCCACCCTTTCCAAGAGAAGTCAGAGCTGAGTTTCCCTGAAGGCACAAATCCTAGGTGAGGCCACCAGCGTGCTACAGTAAGGCCCCCTCTGCACAGTAGGCACAGGCCTCCCCCATGCCCCTGGCACCACCAGAGGCCCCCTCTCGGCGGCGTGGCCCCCAGCACTCACCAAAAGGAGGTTGTGCGCCACCAGGTACCCGAGCCGCGCGCCGCCCCGGATGCCAGGGGCCAAGCGCCCGGTGGCGTAGCCATGCCAGGCCACCACGTAGGGGTTGTCGATGGTGATCCAGTACTTGACCTGGCTGCCAAAGTGCCGGAAGCAGAGTTCGGCGTAATCCCTGAAGTGGTCGGCTAGGGAGGGGTTGGCCCAGCCGCCGTAGGCATCCTGCAGTCGCTGGGGCAGGTCCCAGTGGTACAGGGTGACCACTGGCTGCACGCCCAGCTCCCGCAGCCGCTCCAGCAGGCGCCGGTAGTAGCGCAGCCCCTCGCGGTTGGGGGCGCTCGCGCTGCCATTGGGGAGGACACGCGCCCACGAGATGGAGAAGCGGTAGTGGGTGACCCCGAGCTCGCGCAGCCCCTCCGTGTCCCGCAAGACATTGTTGTAGCCGTCGCTGGCCACGTCCCCGGTGGCGGCGGGGGGCGCCGAAGGGGTCCCCGACGGCAGAGGGGTGATCGAGAGGTCGCCCAGGGGCGCCGGGGGGTGGTGGGTGAACGTGTCCCAGATGGACTCGCCCTTGCCGTGTTGTTGCCAGCCGCCCTCGGTCTGGTAGGCGGCGCTGCCCACCGCCCAGAGGAAGCCGTCGGGGAAGGTGTCGTGGAGGAGGCCCGCGGCATCGGGGACCGGAGGACGTGCGAAGCGGACCCAAGTCTGCGCGCCGTCGCCCGGCTCGGCGCGGAGGAGGCGGCCGACCAGGGCCAGCAGCAGCAGCCGCAGCCGTAGCTGCAGCGGCCGGGCGCGGACGGGCATGCTGGCTGGAGCCGGGCGCTGGGGCCCGGCGCCGCGCCCCTTTATGCCCGCGCCCGCCGCTCCCGCCCGCCCCCGCCGGCGCGCCCAGCCCCGCTCCCCGCGGGCCCCGTGGCAATAATTACCTGCGATCGGCGCCTCCCTCTGCGCGGGCACCGGGGGCGTGGGCGCCAAGGGCGAGGGGCACCGCGGGAGGAGGCGCGACAGCGGGCGCGGCCGTCGGGAACAGGGCACCTGCTCCTCCCTGCGGCCCGGAGCCACATGGGCTGCCTGGGCGGCGCTCAAGTTCTCTGCTTGCCCCTGTTTGCCATCCGCGCGCCCTCCCGGGAGAAGCGGCCGAGGCCAAGTTCGTCGAGGAGGGAAGGCGACGGACGGAGTTTCCCTGACTTGGGCCCGGCCGGAGAGGAAGCACCTGCTTTCTCTTTTCTGCCATTCGGAGGCTGAGGGAAGCTGCAGGTAGACATTGCCAGGGTGGATTAGGAATTGTCTGGAATCCTAGGGGGGTGGGCGAGATGCGGAAGCGCTGTGGGACTTGGCCATGTGCAGAGGACTCCAAGAGGCTTTTTGCACCTCAGCGGCGCAGGAGAGGCCTGTCCCTTTGCCCCCACTCCCCCCGCCCCCTCCACAGTGTCCGAAGGTTTCAAGGAAGGCAAAGTAGATTTATGGCTCGTAGTGGGACTTTGCACTATTCTCTCTCCTACCAATGCTCATTTTAAATGAGATCTCTCAGAATTCCCCGATGAACTTCAAAGCACAGCTGTAGATGGGTGGGGGCGGGGGGGGGGGCAGAGAAATAAACAAAATCAAAGTTTCCACTTTGAATAAACCTCATTCACCTTTTTTATCCTTTTGCATCTGTTTTCTAAATAATCACATTTTGCTTTCAGCTCTGACTTAGCAAGTAAGTTATCTGAGCAACGTGGTGCCGGAAGCGGTGCTGGAGTCTCAGAGTGAGAGAGCAGGTGTTCATCTGCTGGTTCACTCTCCAAATGGCCACAACCAGGGCTGGGCCAGCCTGAAGCCAGGAATCTGAAACTCCATCAGGGTCTCCCACGTGAGGGCAGGGATCCAAGCACTTGGGCCATCGTCTGCTGCCTCCCCAGGTGCATTAGTAGGGAGCTGGATGAGTAGTGGAGCAGCCAGGACCTGAACCAGTGCTCTGATATGGGATGCCAACGTTGCCGGAGTGTTGGCCTTACCCACTGTGTGGCAATGCAGGACCTGTATTCTGTTCCTTGTATTATGAAGTCTACCCTGAGATTCCAGCAGAGTAGCTTGGGCCATGGCCCACCATATGAAGGATTCAGTGCTGTTGGGGCCAGTGCTGTGGTATAGTGGGTAAAGCCACCGCCTGTAGTGCTGACATCCCATATGGGTGCCGGTTCAGATCCCAGCATCTCCACTTCCAATCCAGCTCTCTGCTATGGCCTGGGAAGGCAGTGGAAGATGGCCCAAGTCCTTGGGCCCCTGCATCCACATGGGAGACCCAGAAGAAACTCCTGGCTCCTGGCTTTGGATTGGCCCAGCTCTGGCCATTACGGCCATTTGGGGAGTGAACCAGTGGATGGAAGACCTCTCTCTCTCTCTCTCTCTCTCTCTCTCTCTCTGCCTCTTCTCTCTTTGTGTAATTCTGACTTTCAAATAAATAAAATAAATCTTTAAAAAAAACTTCAGTGCTGTTGTGATCATTTCTTATTCCCATGCTCAGGGTAGACATTCCTAATCAATCACTTCACTGTGCCAGGATGTGGCTTTACCATCCTCAGGGTTTCAGTCCTCAGATAAGTGGTCCCCTCCGCGTGGATTCATTCATCCACGTATACATTCCACAAACATCTGTGAAGCACCAGCAGGCACTGTTCTTGGTGCTGGAACTAAGGCAACTAAAAAGCCATTTGCCTTACATTCTTAGGGGATAAGAGGAGTAAACCCACAAGGAAGATCATTTGAGATACAGATCTCTATGAGGGACACAAAACATGAACTGGATTGATGGTGACTTTGGAGAGGTCCAAGGGTTCTGCCCTCAGGACTCAGCTTTTGTTCTGAGACCTGACAGGAGAGGCAGAAGAAGAACACTCCAGAGATACAGAGGGCAAGTCAAAGGCTCTGAAGGTGGAACAGGCTCGGCTTGTTTCAAGGAATCTGGGGAGCCAGTGTGGCTGGAACAGAGCAGAGTGGGTGAACGATGGAAGAAGACAAACAGTCAAGGACACAGTCCACAGAGGGCCAAGAGGACCCAAGGAATGGGAGAAAGTGTGTCTACACTGTACATCTGACAAGGGGTTAACATCCAAAATAAGTAGAGAGCTCAAACTCCTTACCAACAAGGAAACAAATAATCCAGCTTAAAAATGGGCAAAGCACTTGAACAGATTTTTCTCCAGAAAAAGACACACTGATGGCCAACAGATATATTAAAAATGCCCAATATCTCCCATCATCAGAGAAATAGAAATGAAAACCACAGTGAGAGCATATTCGCACTCCTGTTTTAAATGGCTAATATCAAAAAGATAAAACACAACAGATGCTGGCAAGGATATGGAGACAAGGGAACCCTTGTACACTGTTGGTGTGAATGTAAGTTGGTACAGTGTGGAGAGTCCTCAGAAATCTGAAACTAGAACCACCACCTGACCCAGCAGCCCTACCACTGGACAGATATCCAAAAGGAGTGACATCACTGTGCAGTGAAGCTACCTGCACGCCTGTATATACGTAGCACCATTCATAATAGCCCAGCTGTGGAATCAACCTAAATGTCCATCAGCAGATGACTGGGCAAAGAAAAGTGCTATATATACACAATGGAATATCAGTCATAAAAAAGAAGGAAATCCTGTCATGTGACAACACGAGTGAAGCTGGAGAACATTACGTAAAGTGAAATAAGCCAGGCACAGAGAGACAAATACTGATATTACTGATGTGCGGAATCTAAAAAAGTTGATCTCATAGAAGTAGAATAAGATGGAAGTAGAATAAGATGTGGGAGAGGGGGATTGAGAAAATCAAAGGATACATAATTGCAGTTGGACAGGAGGCATCAATTCAGGGGATCCATTGTACAACATGATGATTATCTTTAAGAGTATACTGCATCCTTGAAAATTGCTAAGAGATTTTAAGTGCTCTTACCACAAAAAAAAAGATGTGTGAGGTATATGAGCTCAGTTTAGCCATTCCACAATATTTTAAACAATATGTTGTATGTGATAGATAAATAAAATTGTTGTCAATTAAAAGGTAAATCAATTAAATTTTAAAAAGAGAAGGGTGGGGACTCATTGTCTATTTTGTTACCTGAGGCATTCCCAGTCCCTAGACCAGTGCTGAGCACAAAGCAATGACTCATTTACTGGGTAAATGAAGCTAGAAGCTCTGATTTGCTGTAACAATGAAATCAACTACCACCATCTCTTTACAAGCTGACCTAATCTACCTTTGTGGTTCAATATTCCCTTGAACAAGTAGTTGCTTCACCACCACAAACACATCATAAACACCTGCTCTCTTGCTGCACTGTTTCCATTGGTTTCTTGCCTCCAGGCTTCTTTGCTTGAAACCCCAGAAATCATCATGTCTTTCTGTGACACTTCTGCCACCAATTCAATGTAGGTGAACTTCTCCTTCCCCTGAATTTCTCTACTACTTATTCTCATCAAAACAAACTGCTTTATTTCCAACTTTCTTTATCCTGTTTCTCCAATTCAGTGTTGTCAGTGAGGGCAGGGGTTGTCATTGGTGCTTTGGGGTCTCCAAGCACCTCACTGTTGTCTGGCCCTCGCTACTGCTCAGTCAGAATGGGGCTGAGGGTGTGAACACCTTCCCATGAAGGGAGAATGTGCATGGTGAGCCGAGGGCGCTGGGGTTGGTGTTGTGCTTGGGGCCATGGGAACCAGTGACTCTCCTGTTCCTGTGGCAGTGGAGGGCTCCTGCGGTCCCAGGGGCACACAGGTGGGGCACAGGAGAGAAGAGACTGGAGGAAGGAATGTGGGGGGAGGAGGGAAAGATGGGCACATTGGTGACCATGCTTAGGTTGTTGAAAAGCAACACTGTGACCCAAGCCACAAGTCCTTCTGTTACCGGAGAGAAGGCCGTGGAAGCTGTGGGGTTCTTGTCTTCACACAAGAAAGAATTCAGGCGTGAGACAGAAAGCAGAGTGATAAGGCTTTATTGAGGACAGGGCATCCACCAGAACTCAGACTGGGGTAGAGCAAGGTTACATGGTTGAGTGGAGAGAATACACCTGGGCAGGCCAGGCGGGCGGCTCAGCAGAGAGGCAGAGAGCTGAACACACAGTCTGTTTGGACTCCCTAGGTTTTTTGGAGAGTCTGTTTACCCACCTCCCCCTCTTCTCCAGGACAAAGGATGGGGAGTCCTGGAGGAAGGGTCTGTTGGGTGAAAATTAGCAAATTCCTCCCCAGATTTGCTGGCCCTGGGCAGAGTAGGGGGGCTTCACTTAGGGCATCTGTGCAGGTTTTGTTGCCCCCTGTTAGCAGGTCAGGTAACCCATTTGGTCCTGAGGAGAGAGAATTCTCCTGGGAGCTTTCCTTGGGGGGAGGGCTGGGACCACCTGGGAGGTTGCCAGGTCTGGGCAGGATTTGAAGTGCAAGATGCTGGGCTTCTGGAGCTTCTGCAGGGGTGCTGGTCTTCAGGCCCTTCTCATGTACACACAGGCTCAGTTTCTGACTTCCTACCTCACACTTTCACATCCATAACTTCACCTACATATTCCAAACACAGCAAGCAAGTCACCTCTCATTTGTGGGAGAACAAAGCATTTGAAATGTCCATTGTAATTTGAAATGTCCATGGTTGAGAAAAGCAACAAAGCAAAGCAAACCAAACACATGAGAAGCAGTGGCAGCAGTCATAAAAACTACTGTAAAAAGAAAAAAAATCCTTTTTTTAACTACTGTTAACTAAAAAATAGCAATAGATACAATCTGCTCTCAACAGACCATGCATCAGTAAGTGAATGCTTAGCCTCAGCTATTTTCCGTGTGACCCATGAAACATTTCTAA